TGATTACAAGTAATTGATTACTGTAATCAAAATTGTAATCATGATTACAGCTGTAATCAAAATTTTTTGAAAGTTGTAATCACGATTACAAGTAATTGATTACTTGTAATCGTGATTACAAGTAATTGATTACATAGCTGTAATTATCTGTAATCAATTACAGTTGTAATCGATTACTGTAATCAACGGCCAACTCTGGTAAAAATAATGTGCACATATGTATAAAAAAACAAGGAAAAATGACAAAAATATGAACCTTATAACTTGGATTGAACTATACTTAATCGCCAATAAACAATAATATAAATGATTTCAAGACATTTTTTTTAAAAGCAGAATAATTAATTTAGAGGAAAGTGTAGGAGAAAATGGATAAAATATTTTTTAAAGATCACTATCCACCCAATAAATTTATATTGATACAAAAGTTTTACTTGTTTTTGTATCTTGTCGGTTTTACTATTTTTAAGGGTTAATTTTTAAAATACAAATGCTTTCTTAACATACATCATAAATTTACGTTTTCCCAAGGTTAGACACTAATTGCATAAAATTTTGATACTTGTTTATTAATTAACTTTATCATTAAAGACTTTTTAAATGCAAACTTTGTCACTAAAACATAAAAGCAGATAACTACACTTTAAACAACATGGTAAATTATCTATATGAAATGATAAACACACGTTACAGCTTTTTGTATGAAGGCCTTTAGAAACTTTAACATTAATTACGACATCCAAGTAAATAAATAAATAAAATATTTATGCACATTTTGTTAACTTTTTAGCAATGAAGCAAACAGAATATAATTTTTTTAGGTCAAGCATATTGAAGATAAGCAAGATTGAAACACAGAAACACAACACAGAAACTCATTCAAAATGAGCCACAACAGATACGTGGGGGAGAGGTCAAAAATCATGCACACAGAAGTGGACTTACTTGACCCCCAGTTTTGTGGCCACTCTACGCCATTGAGAATAGCCACTGGGAGTGTAGTTTTTACGAGGTGCACTACGGGAACAGAAAGAAAGTTTTTACTTTAAAGGAAAAACAATCCAATGATATGAAATTTAAAATTAATAAAATGGATTAAAAGAGAGAAAATTAAAAAGAAATTTTTTATTGCAAATTTTAAAAAAAGGGAAAACCAATATTTGGTCTTAATTTTTGACTAAACATTCTGGGTATTAAGCTATTAAAAGTTAATTTCAGAAAATCAGTGTTGAGCAAACTAGGCATCACAGATCTTTTTTTTTAAAGATATTAGTTACGTAGAAAAGTTAAAAATTTAGTGAAAAAATAAAATCTTGAAAAAAAAATTTAAAAGTAAAATTTTCTAACTTATTTAAAAAAAAAAAAAAAGTTTGTAAAAACTTGGCACAAACTAAAAATGTGGTGAAAAGGATACCCTTGCAACAATTACCACAGTACCCTTGCAACAATTTTTTTAAATAAAGGTATAATCATTCATTTTGTGAATGCTTTACATGCTCATTTAACTTATAATCAATAATTTATCCTCAAAAAATAATTAAAGTGTTTAATTTTTTTTAAATTTAAAAAAAAAGGGAAAAAATTCAAAATTTTAAAATCTTTAAGGCTTTTTTATTTTAACATATTTTCAATTTTTTTCTTCTTTTTAGTGCTTAGAATATTCATCGTAACAATTTTGCGTATTCATTTGTTGATATATCAATTAGAATATTTTTTATAGATTATTTTGTAAAAAAGTAGAAAAAAAAGGTCGAAAATTCCTGTTAGGTATATATAACATGCTGTAAAAATTTTAATACCTCATAAAATGCTTATTTCATGCACAGTTTAAATAAGTATATTATACTTAGGATAAAAAAGTTTACTTCAAAACTTTATCTTAAATAGAAAAAATTCCTCACGGATTTAATTAAGATTAAAGCGCAAATTTATCATCTATGAGAAAAAGCACTTTAAAGTCTGGTTGCTAAGTAGGTTTCTGTATTAGGGCAATTCAAAATCATTCATAACTTATTTAAAAATGTAGATAGAGAGATGATGTTTTTTTCAGTGCATTTGAAATAGTTTGAAGTTTTATTATAAGCAATAAAAAAAATTTTCTCAATATTTTGGTCATTTTTTGGGTACTGTGAGGTAAATAACAATTGCATATAAATAGCATTAAACATATAACTATGTATATGTAAAAAAAATATTGCTTTGTGCTCTTTACTCATAAATAAAAGATTGTTCTTTTTTTATTTAAGTGCTTATATTAAAGGTTTATGAAAACTTTCAAAGGCTGTTAAACTCTTGTTTAGGTTAAAGTCTGCAATTTTTTTTCCTTTACCAAAATCATGTCAAACATTAAATATTATAAAAAATGAAGTTTCACTAGGTAAGGTTTTAATATGTAGGTTATATAACACTCAAATTATAGATAAACACAATATTTTGCTCCTTAGCTCACTAACAAATGTGCTTATTTCACAAAAAGAATTGAAGGAAAAAAAACATATTTCTGCAACCATATTATATTTTCGTTTTTTAAAAAAAAAATTTTTTTGTTTCAATTAGAAATGAGAGTGTTTAAACTACAAATACACAAACACCAGACTCGATTTATTTAAAACTTTGCATTATGGATGTATAAATATAAAAAAAGAGAAAAGAATATTATGCAAAAACTAAATGCTATGAAAAGAAGCATATTTCTATAAATGCAATCTATTAATGCCAAATATATATTCATAAATAACAGAACTTACTTAGAAGAAGGGGAAGACACTTTGGAGGAATCTGTACTAGTAGTAATCTGAAACAAATAAAGTATTTTAATATATATACACCAGTACACTGATATTTATTAGATATAAACATTTCTATTATACACTTACATTTATACGTGTTGTGTCAGTCAGGGAAGATTTTTTTTCTTTATTTGGCTGTGAATGCTTCCCTGTAAAATATTCCAATAAAGCATTAAAAATAAAAACAAAGCCACTTTCTTGAAAACTGAGTCTCAAAAATATTGTGTCGAAATACAGAAGTCAATAGAGGAAATGTCTTCTTTCTTAGAGTATTTAAGAAATTGGCCGCGATGAAATTAGTTTTTTTAAATGACAAAGAAATTTGAGGGATTTTGCATAGCATTTGTCTGATGTGAATTGTAACTATAATCTTATTTTTTACTCCTTAGCAATACTGCACTTTCTTGAGAATTTTTTCCTTATGCACTGTAAAGCTCAAACTGCAATGTTTTACAAAATCTTTTTATTATCCAACGTGCATTACCTAAGATATTACTTTTAATTCCCAATGAATAGGAGGAACCAAGACTCTATTCTTGTACAGCTGCGTCATTGACTCATGCACTTTGATGAATCAGCTAAAAAAAAATTGGAACTTGTTTTTGCATGTTCTAATGCTAGACGAGATTAGCTAGCGCTTTAATCCACAAGAAATGAGTCCTTCTTTCTTTCTTTTTTCTACTTGCATTCTCTAATGTTCTGAATATAACTTTGATTGAAACCTGTTTTTGCATGCTCTAATGCTAGATGAGACCAGCTAGAGCTCTAATCTACAAGAAATCAGTCTTGTTTCTTCTTTTTTTTTACTTGCATGCTCTAATGTTCTGTGGATTACTTTCAAAGGAGAGAAAACAAGAAAACTAAGTGTGCAAGCATAAAAAAGAAAATCAAACATTTCTGGACAAAAGAAATTAACTAAAATGCTACAATATAATAAAAAAGAAGTCCCAACACTGTAGGGTTCCATTTTCTTATAATATTTTTTAGGAATTTCTCAACTAAAGTTATTCTTTCAGTACTGCAAACCAAAAGAAAAAAAACTAAAAGTTCTTTTTAATTTAAAGGCATATTTTTTCTAATTATTCTGAGCACAATAAAGTTCATCTTTAAACAATAAAAATAATTATTAATAATACAGTTTTAACTTGATGTTTCTAATGTTAAGTGAAATTAGTAAATATTAGTAATTAGTAACACACCTAAATTGATGACACTTTGACTATGAGTAAGGGGAGTTCCTATGAGATGCCGATAACGAGTAGGATAACGAACACTTCCTAAAATGACAGTTAAACAATTATCATGCACATGCATCTAAAACTAATACAGATTCAACAAAAATATTAAAACAACTAAATAAACAATGTTAATATTGTTAAATCATCATTGGTGCAAGTCAAGAGTGGGCCTTTACTTTCTCTAGAACAATTCTCCATGCAGTATATTGCAGAATCATTTTCCAATTGTAGTATCATTAATTCCATGCAGGATCATTTAACAATTTAATATTGTTTAATAAAAAAAATAAAACTTAACAATAAAATTAATCTTTTTCAAAAACTAAACAAAATTGTAGCAGGTAACATAAAAAAACATTTATAGAAAATGAAAGACCTATTTAAAAAAAAGAAAATGAAACTAAAACAGCAGTTCCCAACATGTGTATCATTAATCACAATCACAATTGTAGTATCATTAATTCCATACAGGATTATTTAACAATTTAATATCGTTTTATAAAAAATAAAACTTAACAATAAAATTGATCTTTTTCAAAAAAAAAAAAAAAAAAAAAAAAAAAAAAAAAAAAAGGAATTGCAGGGTGTGTAGCCAAATCTTTTAACAAAAAATAAGCACATTTTAAGTACTTTTTAAGAAATCAACAAATATTTTTAAACACGATGTACATTAACAAAATGCAAAATAATTTTCAAAAAGTTTACATGATCATGATAAAATAACTAATTTTTGACAAAGAACTCTCTTCTTGATTACATTAGCCATTATAAAATGATCAAAAGATTTTTAGGTTCGATATCAGAGGGTAGAAAATGAAACCTGAAACTGAGAATTTCTTGCAAAACGCAGCAGAGTTGCTGCACATGAGAGTGCAATAATCTCACCGAGCCCAACTCAGTAGATGCACATGCGGACTCACAGGTATTTCATGAAACATGTCAAGTGATTAGCGCTTTAATAGGCTATGAACGTATGAACCAATAGATTAGAACAGACTGTTTAATGAATTGTAAAAACGTTGAATAGAACAATGTGAAAAGCACGATTTTGAGTAATACACAACAAAAATCAACATGGTAAAGAAACAAATCTCATTTTCGAAAAGGGCAAAATTAAGTACTTTTAAAAAACACCAAAAACACCCAATGAAAAAAAGCAGCTTGCTTTTAAAAAATGAAATTAAGTACTTTTTAAAAACATGCAGAGATGCTTTTTAGAAACATGTTCCCAACATGCGGGTCACATGATAACAATGTGGGGATAAGACCAGTACCATGCTTTGATTGTTGAAGGCAATATTTGAAGATTAGAAGTAACTTGAGGCTAAAATTATACAGTTTCAGGTCTCCATACATGTTTAAGCCAAATGAAAGGGGGAAAGAGATATCTATTTGTCATATTCTTTACTTGGATATTTAATAGTTTAAAAGCCTCTAAGTATTTTAACTATTATTATTATAAATAATTTTTTTTTTACAAAATTGGTGATTGTTGAAAAAAAGGGCTAGGAACTGTTGATCTAAACACACAAATTCATGCACAATGCAAAAGTTCAATTTCATGCTTAAACACAGTTACGCAAAAAGTACTATCAAAAGAGTTAAATAACCAGTTGAAAGCATAGTAACATCTGAATGGTCCTATATTGGCCTAATTTTTTTAAACAATATTAATTATTTTTATTAAATGCATTAATTTAAATAGATTTTATAAGTGTGCATTCATGATACTTTTAAGTATAAGTTCTTGAAATAAATAGCTACATGCAGTTTACTAACAGCATGCATCACAAAATATGAGAATTCCCACTAAAAAATAATTTTTAAAAAGAAATGTTCATTTACTTTATTTGAAGGGAAGAAATTACAGTCAGAGTTTATATGACTTTATGCTAATTTTACTATTGTAAAATAAGGATAGATTTGGACTTTGACTTTTGAAATTAAAGTTTCAGCATTAATTGCAGATAAGATAATTAAGATCTTTCTATTCATGTGCTTATTTTCAAAGTTTAATTAGTCAATCCTTTCACCTAACTTTACACCAAGCCAGGAAAAAGAATTAATTTTAAAATATTCTTTTTAACCTTTCACATAGCAAAAAAATAAATAAATAATAAATTTTAACCCTTTACAGTCCTAAATCAGATTCAGTCTGACATTATTAATATACTGTTGCAATTCTATGTCTGGCTGTATTGGGCATAGGACTGCATTACTAATTCATTATGAGAAATTAGTTTTTTAGTGATTTACTTCTGTTTTAGTTAAAGTGAGAATTTTTGTTTTGAAAGTAATTAGACAAGGATAGAAAATTATTTTTTTAGAAAAAATGGATTTCAAATATTATTTTAATAAGTGATATTTATTTGCAACATTTTCTAATTTTAGAATAAACATTGCACTAGCAAACATTGTCTTCATGTGTATAAAAGATAATCGATACATTAAAAAATAAAAGCTGTTAGTACCAGTCAAAAAAATTAACTTCTTAAAAATGTTGCATGTTACTGCTGTGGTATACAGCTTATAGAACATATTTTATTAATAGATAAATAACGAATTATAATTTCTCTTAAAACATTGATTCTATTCTTGATTCTATTCTATATATTCTATTTAATTTATACATGAAGCATTGGTTCCTTTTGCATAAAAAAAATAGATTTTGCTTTGCATGACATTTAAGTTGTACTTTTGTAGAATGTATTCATACATGTTTTGAGAGAAATTTAGACTTTTATGCAAATGTTATTCGTACTAATCAGAATAACGAAAAGGAAATTCAAAGAATCAGAATTTCCCTTCAAACATTTATGAATATATTTAACAAAAATTTACCTTTAAGATTATACAAAAAAATAAATAAAATGACTTTGTTTTTATTAAATTTATATTAAAATTATATATTTTAATTATATATTTTTAATTTAAAAGTATAGCAAGAGTGATTGGCAGTAAGAAAGACTTTCTTTTTCAAAGTCTTTTTTTCAGTTACTTCTAACAGTGTTTAATTTGGCATGCGTCGTCGTGAAACAAAAATAATACATCCAAAGAGAATCTTATTTATAAACTTACCAGATGGGGTGAGATGAGATGAATTTGAATCTTTATCAGGAGCTGGAGAAATCTAAATGAATTGAGATAAATTTATTAATTACATTTTTATTAAACATTTCTTTAAAAAAAAAAATCTGAATTTACTCTGATTAATAAATATCACAAAATTGTTTCATTTTTGAGAAAATGTTTTAATGAGCAGATTATTGAATTATTCAAATCAAAATATTTTTATTTATATGCTTGTTATCAGAGCAATATTTGAACTTTTTAAATCTATAAACTATTTAAAGTTAAGATTTATTAAAAAATTCATCAAAAGATTAATCTGCTTGGGGTACTTAAAAAAAGGATTAAAATATTTTCCTAATTAATCTATTATGCAAAATATATATGTTCCCTTTTTTTAACATATATTTATTTGCAGATTAACTAATTTTTTAACTAATGATATTTTAAAAATCTTAATGAACAATTAAACTTCATTTACACTACGTCACAAATAACTTTCATAGAACAAAAACTTCTTCACACCCAAAGCAGTACTAAAAAAAAAAATTAGACAAATTTTTTTTAAAAAACTATTTTATATGTATGTATTTATTTATTTTTTTTAAATAAAAATATGAATGCACGTACAGGCTTTAAGAATTTAAAAACACATTCAAAATGTACAAACACTTTATTTGAATTAAAAATTCTTTATGCATTAATATTCTTAGCTACAGTACTTAAGGTACTAGCATATAGAACTGATACTTACTTTTGGCTGAACACAATGAGGAACATGATCTTTACAAGAACTATCATGAACGGTTACTGAACAATCTAAAAATATAAAAAAATGAACAGCTGAGTAATTGATTAAAAGTGATACAGTAAATTTCATTTTAAAAAAGCAAATAAATGCAACATTTATTTACCGAACCTTTTTTACACGTGGGCGACGCTACTCCACCTCCGTGGCTTAGCCATAGGTGCCCACTATGGCTAAGCTATAGAGAGCTCTCTTAAGCTATAAGATAGCAATAAGAGAGTAGTAATTCTGACATTTCTGAGGCCAATGGGAAATCGACCCAAGTACCCGCCATTTAAAAAAAATATAAGATGATTTATATATCTGATCTTATTATTTTATTTATCTGATTACATCAGAAAGATACAAAAACATATGAAAAATGCAAAAAAATCAGTTTTAAAAGATAATAAAAAAGCTGCCTACTTTCACACTTAAGGGCTGACTTGTTGGCTAAGGCACGACTACAAACATCACAAGTAGCCGCAGTACTGTAACAAATTGAAACAAAATGATGTGATGCATTCTTCTTATCCTTTTCTTTATTCTGAAATAATAAAACAATTTTTAATTCCAAGGTAGAATTTTAACAGATAAAACTCTAAAGAAAATTTGCTAAATTTAGAATAGACTAATATAAAAAATAAGGTAACTTATTTCATTAACTTGTAACTTTATGGAAAAATAAAATTGCTTATATTTAATTAAATTATTATTTTCATTGATGTTAAAGTTCGTTACGTTAAATAAAGAGGAAGAATGTTTTAGAAACTGGGAACGTTTGGAGAACGTCACACCACGGGAGAAACTTTTCATCTCAAATTCTTTTTCACCCACTTAACTAATTTCAAATTTAAAGTATGGAAAAAGTAAGTTCAGACAAACTCACAGTGAGCCATGAAGTTTTTAAATACTGAAAAGAAATTTTTAAAATGCACAAATGAAAACAAATTATGAGACAGTAAATTAAGATCACTCAATGGTGAAGTTCTTTTCCAATAATTTGTTTGCATTTTGATATTTTGAAACTTTTTTTTTAGTAATTGAATCTTCATGGTTTGCTTGAACTCACTTTTTCTTTCTTTGAAATTTTATATTAGTAATGGACATGAAAGAGCATTTGTGATGAAACTTTTCTCCCATGGTATGGCATCCTCTTAAACATAATCTTAAAATAGTAGATCATAATTTTTCAACAGTACACAAGAAATAAAAACATTTTAATAACCTAAATGACTACAGGAAAAATTTAAAACTATAAATAACCCCTTTTAAGAACAGTTTTACAAATAAAGGATTTTTTAAGAATTGGTTATTTTGTCCTCTAGAGAGGAAAAATTTATTCACATAGCAAAATAAATGTGTTCCACAATCAATATAATTTTAATCATGTATAAAATAAGTATAATATAACAGGGATGTAAATCATATCTGGAAAAAAAAATTCCCAGATTGGTACAAAACAGTCCAGAGAAAAAGTACGGTGGAAACAACACTGACAAAATTCTCCTTGATATTGCAGTCAAAAACCTATATGTATAAGATGGCGTATGGCTGAATATTTCAAGAATTTGATGACTTATTCATTATGGGCCATCTAGTTCAAACTTAATATTATTAAATAATAAATATTTAATGGTACATATAAATCTTGTAATAGTGTTATCATACATTACGTATCCATTAACAATACTTTCTCAGGGGAATTTAATCTTGTGTTAAAACAAAAGTTGATATGAAACAATATAATTATTAACAAAAGTTGTAATTTTTTCTGATCCCACTTGCCAATACCAGTGAGCCTACTTGGTGAAACCAAACGAATTTGAGGCAGAGGGTGCATTTCTTGTTCTTCAGTGGCGCCATCTATGGCAAAGAATGCAACTTCAGTCACACATATGTATAGGGCAAACCTATTCATACACTAACAGATAGTAATTTTGGCCTGAACCACAGAATGATCAATCTCCACTTCAGTACCCTCAGAGGTATGATTCATTATGGAACCACGGAGGACTCTGTGCCCCAACAGATTTAAAGTGCTCCAGTCATCATTTACTACACGGGGAGGCTTTGGCTGGTGGGGATTGAACTCATGACCTCTTGGTTGTGGGCCCAATGTCCTACCAACCAGGCTATCCCTACCATATTAACAAAAATAAAGTGTTTTCTTATAATACTATTTTTAAAAATATTCCACAGGAGTCTGCCTAGGTTTTTCTGAGAGGTACCTATTTTGTGAAAATTTAAGACTTAATTTGTGAAAATTAAAAATTATATTAAAAAATTAACACAAAAATATGGTAAAAATTTAAATTTATCATTTCTTACCAGACTCAAAAATAAAATTTTAAGAAAAAGTATCTTGTGAAACTACCGTTTTTCCTGAAGTTGAATTTGTGAAGGTACTGCTATATGGTAGTAAATTTGGCTTGGACAGACCCCTGTTCCATATAGACATATATATGTTGCATAAGATTATTACATCAAAATATTATATTTATAATTAATAGAATTTAGAAAATTTCTAGAGTTCCTTAAGAAACCTTATCATCTAGTTAAAAAGTATGAAATGTAAAAAGCCTTTCATAAGCATTAACACTTCAAATGGAATAAACTTGAAGTTTTGTTAAAATAATCTTCAATTATACACATATTTGTATTATATTTAGATTAAATTTGAGATCAGTATTTCCTTCCAAAGGGACTCTTTTTTTCATTTCTATTTTATATTTTCAGTTCTTTTTTATTATTATTATAATGATGGGAGCAATTAAGAAATTTTTGATTGTCTACTTTGAAGCAATTCAGAACAGCTACAATGTATTGGAGTAGTGACCACATCATTCGAGGAGCAAAAAAAAAAAAAAAAAAGTAAAGNAAAAAAAAAAAAAAAAAAAAAAAAAAAAAAAGTAAGATAGTTAATATTACAAAAATGTATACATTCTTCAATGGTGTGTTAATATAAATATACCTTTTTCTTTCGAAAAAATAAGCTTCCCCTTTTCTTTCTTTTGTTAAAAGGTTTGTCTTCTTCGTTATCTTGTACTCCCGTTTTCAACAGATTCCTGCAACGTATCAAACAAAGGATCTTTAGATGCAAATAACATTCTTTTAGATACAAATAACATTCCTTAGATGAACTTTAAGCAATTAAAATCAAATGTGGAAATTATGGATTACATGTTGACAAGAAATGAAATTCGGCATGTAAATAGAAAATGGGTATAATAATTTTATTTAAAACATACTCTTATAGTGAACAAAAAAATCATTATTTGTAACAAGATGGTAATAATTTTTTATTACAACTGAATTTTTAATTACAATTGAATTTATAATTAAAGAAAAATAAATTAAATTTTACAGATAAAAAAATTTATCAGCGTTATTGAAGTAATTTTACTACATTAACAGAGACAACACCTACTACGGCTTCTCTGTAGTTTGATAAAATATTTTTCCTAGTGTGTAGCAAGGGTAATGCATTAATATTTTAATAGATTAGAATTAAGGCTGCATATTAAAAAAATGTTTCAATTACGCCATTAAAATAAATCATATATTACAAATATCACATTTTTAAAAAAATTACAGAATGCTTCAAAAACTATTTCCTAATTTTCATGATAGTTGCATAAGAATTCTCCCTTTACTCTTTTCCCACCTAAATTAAAATTAGTAAAGGACATGGGGTGAAATCTTAAGATCTGAATCATTGCAGAATTCAGTTTACTTGTCAAACACTGAAAAATATAATTCAACTATAACAAGTAAAGCTGGTACAGTATTAACCAAAAGCATTAATTATTAAAGAGAAATATTATGATTTTTAGACAAATTTTATAACTATATTCATATTGAATTACTATTTGCATAATACATTTCACTGTACTTTTAGAGTTTCACAAAACACATTTTCATTCAATAAAGAAAAAACTTAAAATTTTACAAATCAAAATCAAGGTGAGAAACTAAATTTGACAACAAAAAAAAAAGCTTTTATGGAGAAAATAAAGTTAAAAAGGGGAGGGGAACTTACTCCCTGAGTAGATTTGCAAGTGAAAAACTACTTAGTCGCTTAATATTCATATCTTCTGGTTCTTCTTCATCTTCATGCATTATTTCAATACAAGAATTTCTAATATTTTGAAATGAGAATCTGTTTCTGCAGTACACACTTAAAGAAAAACATAAACATGCAGATATCGTGCAAATGGTAAATAAAAGCATGCACAGAACATAAAACAACGAAAAATTAACTAAGGATATAAAAATGTATTGCAATAAAATCCAATATGTTAAAAAAAGAAGAAAAAGTCCTATTGTTCAATCAAATTTGTTTTTAATATAGAAGGTTTTTAAAGCTATTAATTTTCTTAGATGACTAGGGGTTAAAGTCTCATGTTTGTTGTTGATGATTGTTTACAGTAATTGTTTAGTCTTGGCATAAAACAGTTTTTTCGACAAAAGTTGCAATTATTCCCTTCAGAGGACGCCATACCGCGGAAGAAAATTTTCGGTGCGAATTCTCTATCTCCTTCAATACTAATTTAAAGTATAGTCACACAAACCTAAATTAAAGCCATGAAGTTTCAAATACTTAAAAGAAAAATTTAAATATGCAAATGAAAATAAATTATGAGATGATAACTTAGGATTATGCAACGTAGAAGTTCTTTTCTAATTATTTGTTTGCATTTTGATATTTTGAAGTATTTTTTTCAGCAATTCAAACTTCATGAAACTTCATTTCTTGTTTCTTAGCAGTAAATGCATCTAAAACTGTCATAATAATAACTTAAAAATTTAAAAAAAAATTTTATTACTTTAAAATGATTTTGTTCTTAGTTGAGAATTTAAAATCTTTTTATTAGTCACTGATACTGCTAAACTTTTGCCAAATCAAAACTGCCACAACTTCCAAATTTCTGAGCCCATTTTTACTAAATACTAGCTCCTATTTAAAATATGATTTCCCTATCTCTTTATTCATCTATAATTTCGCCAACATAAATTTACAGAAGCACTATTTATTTATTTATTTTTTACTTGCAGAATTAAGCATTCCAGACGACACGTCATTTAACATTTTTCGCACCCCTTCTATAATATTTGGCATATTTGATAAGCTATAACATATAGTAGAATCACTCATTGGCAGAATGAAGTATCCTATCTTTCTAAAAAATTTTATTGATTATTTGTGATAATAAATTACCCGCATAAATGATTGTGAAAAGTGCTGAAACATATAGTAAACTTTAATTTAAACATAATTTTCTGTTTTCACTTCTAAGAAATAAATTTTAAAGGATATTAATAAAAATACAAAATAACAATTAGTGATGTGCTATTATGTGAGAGTAAATAAACTGAGATATTTTTAAAGAACCCTAATGACCAATATACATCCATAATTTAAAGGTCTATTCATTAAAAATAACAATGAGAGGAACAATAATATATTTCAGAGTATATTACTAGGCAACCGTTTGTGAACATTATTTACACGTTATGAACACTTTAACATAAACATGATATCGTTTTTAAAATTCAAACATAAAAAAATTTAATGCATAGTAAAATAAATTTTCTTTTAAATTATAGTAGTTTCAATGCAAACTATTAGTCAGTGAGTATTATTTACATTAGAAAGGCTTATCTTATTTTTTTATACATTAGAAAATCATTTAATTTTCTCCTTTTTTTAACTCGAAAGGTATCATGGTTAAAGAAATAAATCAAGACAAAAAAAATTACAAAATAAAAAATGAGCTACTTTAAAAAAAATTGTCAAAAATTACAAAGGTAATAACAAAAAACTACTTAATAATTTTGGGTAAATTACCTGTCACGACCATCCCTTCGATGTGCTGTAATAAAAACAAAAATTGTTAGAATTGAAAAAATATTTTTTCAACAATGTCTAACTCAGGAAAATAAATATGGAAAATGAAAGTTTTTCAAAAAATTAGAATAACAAAAATCGTAGCAATCGTTATTATTATTATTATACTACAAGTTTAACAGTAGATAAATAGAAAATACAGTCAATACTCAATATAATGACCCTTGAGGTCTGACTAAAAATGGACACAATAATGTGAGGTCATTATATCGAGAATGTACAAAACCGTGTTAATATTTACTCAGAGTAAAAAAAAAAAAAAACACTTGACTAATTTTCAGGGGTGATTGTGAGCCCAACTCAAATATCCTGAAACTTTATTGAGCAAAATCATTAATGACGCATTTCAAAAAATTAATGTCTTCATGAATTTAAATCACTGATATTTTCAAAACATGAAATTCTAACTAAATTATATGCAACATAATTTAAATGAATAATTATGTATAAGTTTACTTTTATCTCTAATCACATTTAGTATTCTACCAGAAAAATGAATGAGGTTCCAAGTACAAAATCTAGCTCTAATATTTTTAAATAAAATATACAAGAATTTTTATATATGAATGTGATCGATGATGAAACTGCTGCACCTTGGATTTCCGGAAAATTCCGGATCAGGGTTAGCAAAAAATCCGGAAATCCAGATTTTTGCTGGAGCACAATCATCTCTGAATTTTAACAAAGCAGTGCATTACTTTAATAAGAATTGGTATCTATCAAAAAGAAAATTTGGTAATAACATTAAAATTTTTTATCTCTACTAGTATATAGGTAAAAGCACCCTTTAATACTTCGTAAGAGAGAAATGCTATAAAGAAACATGCTGAAGTTGGGCTGCCGTTTTTGATAAGTTATATGGTTCGGGATAACTGGCAAAGGACACAAGTACTAGCTTGAAAATAAACCACACAAAAGGACTGACATGTCATAAAAAAGTTAATACAATTTTTCAAACAAGAAAAGTATAATGAATTAAATTATTTTTATTCCTTGAAAACAAAGTCACTCAGATTATGAAAGACCATAAATTATTACCACTTAGGACTTAGGATAAGAATTTAGGGAGGCATGTCACTCTTTCTTCATTGAAAGAGGATTCAAGTTTTTTTACATTTACTGTGTGGTGACATCCCAAATAATTTCTTGGAAACTTTTCCTAACTCAAAAGACTAAATTTTGGTTGTTATATTGGAATGAACCATTCAGTACAGACGTTTTAATGAACATTAAAATAATATTGCGCCTATTGTATAGCAAACGGGACTAACGCATAAATCGTTTTAAAGAAATAGTTACTGCGTAATAAACAGTGCAGACTACACTAATCTATTTTTTAAAAAAAGTACATAAAATTAGTTGCATTAAAAAGGACTTTTGCAATGTGTAGGTGCTTTCGCCAGATAAGAACATGCTTCTGCAGACTACACTAATCTAAGTCTGGACTAACGCATAAATTGTTTTAAAGAAATAGTTACTGTGTAATAAATAGTGCAGACTACACTAATCTATTTTTTAAAAAAATTACATAAAATCAGTTGCATTAAAAAGGACTTTTGCAATGTGTAGGTGCTTTCGCGAGATATGCTTCTGTTTTATATCATTAAATTATTATAAAAAATCAAGCTATTATTACTATTTGACAGTATCACTGCCCATATGATATTTTTTCAATATGAAAAGTAGAAAAATAACAGAATAAGAACATTAATCAATAACTAAGAAAATAAAAACATTATAAATCATTTAAAACTAAATACAGAATCATCAATTACCAATTTCTTGTATTTCTTGAGCAGCAACTATAGAAGGAGTAGAAACAGATTTTTGCAGGGTAGAGCGGGGTGCAATAAGCCATTCTTCTTTTCTAGAATTTTTTCCGCCCAAACCAACTAAGGAATGCTTTTTTGCAACTTTTGGCTGTAGAAAAAATAAACTATCATTTTTATAACTACATTATAGAAATTTCTCACAATTTACAGGTCAGGTGCACATAAAAAACTAGCATTCATATTTCATATAAGAGATAAGTTAAATTGGCATTCAAATTTTATATAAAAGATAAGTTAAACTGGCATTCAAATTTTGTATATTTAACAAATTTACAATTGCTTTGAAAATAAAAATAAAAAACTACTGCAACACCAAATTTGAGATTTACTGAACTTTTTATAGCATGTGAATCACTGAATAATAGTGGAATAAATGCATAATAATATTTATTAATAAAATAAACATCTTAATGAACAAAATTTTTTAAAAAAAACAAAGTTATAAAATACTGTGTATATTTTGGAATTCCACTTCAAGTTTTTTTAACAGTAGAAAAATCTGCTCCAGAAGAAATAAGGCTTCTTTCGTACCAAGTGAAAGAGAAACTCTTTTCTTAAAACGAAATATTTTGTTGTTGTAGTTGCAGTTCATTTACGTCGCACTACAGCCCATTTTACAGCTCTAGTGCGACGTAAATGAACTACAACTACTTTGTAAAAAATAAAATAAATATTAAAGATAAATGAATAATAAATAATTATTTTTAAAACGTAAACATGAAAAAGTTTTTAAGTTTCTTACAGAGTAGGCAAGGTTTAGGACAGAATAGATTAATACCATGTTTAAACCGTCCTGTGAAAAGCCTCTTTGTTCATAACTGTTTTAAAACTGTCCAAAACCCTTTTATTCAAATTATGTCACAATTTTAAAAAAGTATTGTAAAAATAAATGGTTGATTTCTGAACAAGAAACAAATTGAAGACAAGTTTTTGTTTTATTGAAAAAGTTAATGCAATATTATTTTTAATACTGCATTATATATTCTTATGCAAAAAATAATTTATTAGTATTAAAAGCATATTTATTCATATTTAAAGGCACTCACTTTTGTTGTTCAATGAATTGTGGAGCCTCAAAAGTTATAAAGCTTTTCCTAATAAATTACATTATTTTCCTTTAATAAGTTAAAGCAAATTGCATAAAAAGTACCAAATATTTATTAATATATGTAATGTGTACAATGGTTACACATATAGAACTTTTGCCTTTTACCAATGTTCAAGGTTTTGGACACTTTATGACAACTTTAGGCAGTTTGGGACAGTAAAACCCACGTGTCCTATCCAAAACCAATTTAGGAAGTCCAAAACCTCAACCCTGGTTTCTTATAGTAGATTAAGTTTTATATGTTTAAATTCTATTCTAATAATAATGAACACTAAGCAATTATATTTTTAATTTCTCAGTTTCTTCGATTTTGTTCAGTTTTTTTTCTCCCTCAAAGTATATCATGAACAGTTTAAACCTAGCACAAATGCAACCAAAATAAAAGTAAATAACTCAATAGAAAAGTCAATTACGATTATTGAGATAGAGTTGGAAAAACATTAACTCGATCAGCATAGTTGTAAATAAAATAAAAATATGTTAACAAACAAGTGCAATAATACCTCGGCTCTACTTATACATAATGAATGAGCTCTTTCAGTGGCCACATCTGTCATGCTTTGAACAGAATTCTGAAACTGTTCAGCAAATTGAAAAACATCTTCACGACTTCCAGCTGCAATAAAAATATTATAAAGTTATAGCAAAATTAACTTATAAAGTCATACCAAAATTACAAAAGAATGACATATTGAATATGTATTTTTTATTTATTTTTTTATTTATTGTTAAATTAAGAAAGTGTAAGCATTTTCAATACAGCAAGAGTCTAATGTAGCAGATGGTATTGTCAAATAACAAAAATACTGCATACAGAGTATTTGTATAGAATAATATTTGCACCAGGGTTGGGGTTTTGGACGTCCTAAACTGGTTTTGGACAGGTCATGTGGGTTTTACTGTCTTAAACTGTCCTAAACTGGGTAAAACTGTCCTAAACAGGGCAAAACTGTCTTAAAGTGTCCAAAACCTTGAACTTTGGTAAAAGGTAAAAATTCTATAGGTGTAACCATTGTACACATAATAATTACATGTATCAATAAATATTTGATATTTTTTATACAATTTACTATAACTTATTAAAAGAAAATAATATAATATAATAGGAAAAGGTTTATAATTTTTGAAGCTCCACAATTCATTGAACAACAAAAGTGAATACCTAATCCTTTAAATATAAATATGCTTTTAATACTGATAAATAATATTTTTGCATAAGGATAAATATGGCAATATTAAAAAATAATAATTTTTCTTAAAAAAAATACTAAATTTGTTCAAAAATTAACCTTTTATTTTTCACAATATTTTTTTAAAAAAATGTTATAATTTCTGCATCACAGGATGATAAAAAAGAAATCTTTTTTAAAAAAAATTGTTTTTAAATATAAATATATTAGTTTAAATTGAAAATACAAAATAACTGAAAAATGTATTAACAGTTTTGAAGGGCATAACATCAGTTTCAGTTACTGACACTGGTGATGTATCACCACTATGCTAAAAGAATTGAACATGAATGAAATAAAAGTATTCTTGAATAGTACAATAGATAAATAAACCTGTTTATGACAAACCAAGCACTTAGTCCCTAATATTTTAACCTGTATGGCAAGGCCAAACTTCAGTTATGTACTATTGAATGAGAGGACCAATTGAACTTGATTACTGATTAATCTTCCTTTGTTTAAATTGAAGAGTCAAACAATATTAATAAAACATTATTCTTTTAAAAACAAATATTCTCTAGTATATTTAATTATCAATATGTTATTAGTTCTATGTTTATTTTACCTCTTAAATATTGTTCAGATAAAATTGTGGCATAATTTGAGTGAAAGGGTTTTGGACAGTTTAAGATAGTTTTGGACAAAGGGGTTTTGGACAGGACGGTTTAAACCGTGGATTAATCCCTTCTGTCCTAAACCTTGCCAACCCTGATTTGCACACTTCATTGCTTTAGTATACATTTTATTTGGTATGATATCACAAGATAGAAGATTTACACAGATAGCACATGAAAAAAAAAATCTAAGCAAAAAATCAGACAATAATAACATAATTTGTATGCCATACCAGAGAAGCTACGCTGTTTTTCTTTCATTCCCTCTGGAATACTCTCTTGGCTTTCAGTCTTAGTGGAAGAGAATCTAGTTTGAAACACAAGATCCTGGATGGCACTGTTAGCTCTCTGGCGATGATCAGCTAATAACACTCCCATGCTCCAACTTTAAAAAACAAAAAATAATTAACTGTCTTACAAACTGGATATCATTAATTGTTTAATGCTAATAGTACTCCATGATGGCTCAGAGGATAGGGTGTTCACCTTCCAATGAGGTGAACCAGGTTCGAATCCCAGCGATGGCTGGTCGATACGAATTCCGCATCTGGCCTGCACCGACCACAATGGTAGACGGATCATGGGTTAGAATCACCTTGCCGTCAGGTTAATCGTGAAAGGTTTTCCTCTCCATCTAACTCAAGTGTGGGTAAATTCCATCTAAAAATTCCACCAACTTCCCATTAACCTCTTGGATATCGGAGCAGATGGCAAGTTACTATGAAGAGGGCAGGGCTCGAAAAAACTCAAAATTTTTACCCGTCCCCGAGGACGGCTTGTCCAACAATGTACCCGTCCTCCTTTGAAATTAACCCATAGCTTCTAAATAAATAAAAATATAATTTTCTCTTATTTATTACAAACATTTATATAAATTGCACAATGGATTAGTAGTTACTAGGATTACATTATACAGTAATAAAAGAAATGCTAGATAACTGATAGTAACCTAGTATTTCTTTTAGGAAATAATTTATTTAATTTATAAAATAATTTAGATGACAAAGGTCAAGTTATCTGGAATATCAATTTATCCGAGGGTACTGCTTTTTCTAAATGAATCAAATATGATGTTTGCCAGGTCCACAATCAAGCCAATGATTTACAGAGGTTTTTGCACAGAAATCTGAAAGGGGTTTTTCATTTAGGTAGATTTTCATAATTGCGTTTAACGCTTCTTGTTTATCAATTCTACCATGCGCAATATGTTGCTGTATTGTGGGTCATTTTGCTGAATTAGGTCTTTATAAACAGCTTGGGCTCGGAGGGCTGAAGTTTTCTGGTGCTTAATGATGTTATGTATCTTAAATTTTAATGACACTTATTCTTGAGAAAAATTTTCTTTATCTACTCCTTCAAAAAATATTGTAAGATAAAAAAAAATTGAAAATGTATCACGAACATTAACGGGAAAATGGCCGTCCGTGCGGACGTCGGATTCGAGAAATTTGTTGTCCGCTGGGAATTTTTGACCGCCGAGGACGGGCGGACGGGTGGTTTTTCGAGCCCTGGAAGAGGGTATTCTAAATCTAGTTGTATGGAATGATAAGTGCTTAAACAAAATTGACAACTATTTTTAAAAAAAAAGAAAAACGTATATGTAGAATCAAAGAATAAATTTGCTTCATGAAAATTTTCTTCCATTTGGTTATTCTCAAACAGCCCTTATTTAAAAAATAGCCCTCGTATTACATCACCTCAGATACCTTTTTTTTAAAATATTAATATTTAACATAATATTACGTTAACATAATACTAAACCATTTTATTTTATAAATTACTTTATGATTAAATTTTGACTTTTCGATAGCTGTAACATATTCCCGAACAACATATAATGAAAAATCTAATGACAAAAAATATTTTAAATTTGATTTAACAATATAAAATTTTCCAAAACTCAAAAATAAAAATAAAAAATCAAATTTAAAGTTCAAAAGCATCTTAGTTTTTCAGACTTCTCCAATAATAAAAAATAGTCATAAAATATACAAAAACTAGGAGTATTTTTAACTAAGTCTGCAATAAATCAATTGGAGATGCAAGTTAGAAATCATTACCATCGATTAATCCTTCCGGTTTGATTTCTCTTACGAGAGCAACACCAAGACGCTCTACGTTGGAGTGGCACNAAATCTCACTTAACTTTTTGAAATCTCACCCTGTTTTTGAGAAAGGGTGAGAAATTCTCACCCATTTTTTTTCTGTGATGAAAACACTGTATGAAGAGGGTATTCTAAATCTAGTTGTATGGAATGATAAGTGCTTAAACAAAATTGACAACTATTTTTTAAAAAAAAGAAAAACGTATGTAGAATCAAAGAATAAATTTGCTTCATGAAAATTTTCTTCCATTTGGTTATTTTCAAACAGCCCTTATTTAAAAAATAGCCCTCGTACTATGTCACCTCAGATACTTTTTTTTTAAAATATTAATATTTAACATAATATTACGTTAACATAATACTAAACCTCTTTATTTTATAAATTACTTTATGATTAAATTTTGATTTTTCGATAGCTGTAACATATTCCCGAACAACATATAATGAAAAATCTAATGACAAAAAATATTTTAAATTTGATTTAACAATATAAAATTTTCCAAAACTCAAAAATAAAAATAAAAAATCAAATTTAAAGTTCAAAAGCATCTTAGTTTTTCAGACTTCTCCAATAATAAAAAATAGTCATAAAATATACAAAAACTAGGAGTATTTTTAACTAAGTCTGCAATAAATCAATTGGAGATGCAAGTTAGAAATCATTACCATCGATTAATCCTTCCGGTTTGATTTCTCTTACGAGAGCAACACCAAGACGCTCTACGTTGGAGTGGCACTTTAGCCCTGTCCTTGCGGGCACTTCTGCGAATGGAACATTGTAACAATGCAGAAGGGATATGAAGGAACTCCCTAGAATCACAGGGCGTGACATCATTAATTAAAATCTTAACACTGGTGTCACCCACTTCACCCTCAGATTCAGAAGAAGATCGCCTTCTCGAGTCAGTCATACTGCTCCCTCAGTCATAAAATATCAACCATCTGTAGAGAGAAAAAAAAATTTACCAAGTTTTTATACAGTATATTAAGAACTTTTCGTTAACAATACAGTAAAAATCAGTAGGTCGTATTACTCTTTGGTCATAAAATATCAATGGTCTGGAGAGAGAAAAATTGACTCAGCTTACCAGAATTTTTTGTTCACAATACCCCTAGAGAGAAATAATTCTATCCGTTATCCGGAAATCAGAAAACCGGAAAACCAAAAAACCGGAACGAAATTGATGAATTTTCCCGCCATTATTAAAAAAAAAATTTTTTTTCCTCATAAGATTTTAGGATTTTTCTTTCTTTTTTGAAAGATGTTTACCTTACCATCAGTTTGGAAATAATCATTAGTGTATTACTTCATCGTTTTTTCTTCTTTTTAAGATTATTTCCAGACAATTTTTTTTTTGTTGGGTTTAACAATAAAAAAACAGCTTTTTGTAGCGATTCAGAAAACCGGAAAAATCAGTTATCCGGAATAGCGATGGTCCCGATCGTTCCGGATAATCGGTTCCCTACTGTACCTTGGACCCAGTTAGGCTCAGTATGGGTCCCATATGGACATGCTCCGAGGCAGTGGCGTACGCAGAATTTTTTCAAGGGGGGTGTTCATAATTTTCAGAAACTACTAAAAGAAATTCGAGTCTGCAATAAAGCACTATTATTTCACTAATTTAGACAGCTAGACAATTTTGACTTTTTACTTGAACAACATTGTTTACTTAAATTTTGATTTGATTTTTTAAGTTTAAGAACATAATGTAATATCTTCTGAAAAAAGTCCAATGTCATATGGGTGGGAAGTAACACTTTGAGGGCCACTTTCACGTTCATCAGATTTTGTTATGCTAGAAACGTTTTCTTCAACGGAACTATCACATTTCTGTACAACAGAAACACTTACATTGGTACTAGATGCTGTCACCTTACTAATTTCAGGTCGTGATTTTTTCTCAAAATAATTAAAAATTGTTAAATTCTTGCGTTTTGACATCCTAAAGATCCAAGAACAGCAAATATATATATATATATTGGCACAGAAATATCCGCTATGCTACGATCTCAAAGTTTCGAGCTGGAATGAATAACTTCAACGAGCGCTGTATCTCCAATGGTATTGTTACTGATTTCTTCACTAGTCGAAATAGTGGCGACGACGGGTTCGGCGATTGAATGAACTTTTTGTTGAGATAAATCAAAACAGATTTAGCGACAAGCTCCGAAAGACAAGCGGCAGAGATAACTCTTAGTCTGACTAACTAACTCCACTGTACTCCGTTCCTCCTTTTATATAATTTTTCACCGCATCTCCAAAATTTTCGAATTGTCTCAAAGACAACAGAACGTCTAGGATTCCAGAATCATCGCGTAAAGACCTCGCGAATGACAGCCAGTCTCGAAAACTATACTGGCAGGACAGAAAGGAACCAGTCCGTAACAGTATCACGTGAATTTGGTTTCAAAAGTACAACCCTATTATAATAGTAAATGTTTTTTTTTTCATTATTCTGAGAAATACCATGAGGAAAAAAAAGTAGGCATAAGGCAAATAAAATTATATAGTCTTAAAAAATAATAGTTCGCACAATTTCTACTAAAATTTTTATTTTTGACATTTTGTCTGAGCTCAAGGGGGGGGTGTTTAAACCCTTAAACCCCTCCCTTGCGTACGCCACTGCTCCGAGGGACCAATATTGGGATGCCTAGATTTTTTAATATTGGTTCTATGCAGTGTCAATATTGACCTATATAGGGCCAATATAAAGCTTATAACAGCTGTATAATGATTTTAACACATCGGGTAAATCTGACAATTCCATATAGGGCTAATATTGGTCATAAAATATCAACATTTAAAAGGGGCGAAATCAACTCCAGTTTATACCTGATAAAATTTCTGATTTAGCAACTGCACTCAAATTATGAGAGGACTAGACATAAGCGTATAAGAAACTAAAATAAAAAAAAAGGTTTAGAAAGTTGCAAACAAATAATTTATAACATCTCTAAGGACATCACTACACAATTTTTCAATTAATTTCAAGAGAATATTTCCATATCCGTACTCAATAGCACCAAGGCATCAAAGAATTTTTCAATCTTCACAAATTTAAATATATGTACAGTAGAGTCCTGATTATCCAAGCTAGCAAATATTTCAAGGACTTTTTTTTTTTTTTAGATTATTCTTCATTTTTAAAACTACAGCTGAAAAAAAAATTCTGAATTTTATCTTCCAAACACTTCAAGAAAACGAAATCCAACAACTCGATCCGATGAAATAATGGTTAATATTGTCAATTATGAAAATGAATCTAGCAAAGATGAAGACAGTGATGATGAAAATCAACATATAAAAATCTCTCGACTAAAAGCTATTGAAAATATAGAACAACAAGAAGAGGCGACACCAGTTTTCCTGTTAAACCTAAAAAATAGGCCAAAAATTGCTGTGGAAAAGCGCCAAAGTAATGTAAAAAATAAAAACAATTAAAGACTTTTTTAAGTAAAAACTTTTTAATTCTCGTAAAGTATGTTCTAATTGTTTTTAAGCAAGCTTTTTACTTATAATATGAATTGTATGTGGTGTACTGGCATAAATTTTTATATTTGTTAAATTGATTACATTTATACCTTTTTTCCTTCCTTTTATATACTCTTTGCTTTAACCGAGTTTCTCGGTTATTCCAATTAGTTGTGGTTCAAATTAACTCGGATAAACAGAACTCTGCTGTATATACATTTAAATTTGTACATGTATATCGAGAGAGAGAGGTTTGCCTATAGGTTCCTTACAAGCTTTACTCATCAAGATAGTCCCCATCTGTGATTTGCTCAGTTTCAAGCGTGCCGCTGCTCGGAAAGCTGCATTTCTGAGCCAGTTGCTACAAGCTGTAGAATCTTAGTGAGATAAGCCAAATAAGAAAAACAGCCTCACAGATAGAATCTTCGGAAATATATCCGTATTTGTCCGTGCCAATATTTAAAAAAAAAACATAGTGAAAGGTTTGTCTTAAGTGGGTATAAGTTATAACCCTCATGTTGGTCACTTTCTGCAAAGCTTTTTATTTTAGTTTCTGGAGGGTCACAGTCCAGAAGGAGCCAAACTTTGATGATAATTTTAACTCGAGTATCGATCCACAAATCTGCTCATTAACCCTCTGACTGCTCCATTTTTGGACCGAAGCAGATTTAAAAATTTGCTTTACACTACGCGCTTTCCGCCCTTACGAAATCGCTTCACACTACGAGCTTTCAAATACGGCAATTTAGAGGACAACTAACGACATCTGTTGGTCAAAACGTAAACTAAACGTCTAATACCGCTGAAACGGGGAATAAACGGGATGCGCTCATCAATAAAGGAAGAAAAACACATGCCCGCGGAAATCATGGGATGAGCAGATTTTGTTACAATTCAGTTGCCCGTGGAAATCGCGGGATAATCAGTCAGAGGGTTAATCACCCAACAGTCATTTTGGGGATATTTCGGTATCATGCTCTGTCACATCAACTACAATCACCAAGGCGCCAAATTGATTTTAAATGGGAATTTTTTTAAATAAAAGTAGAGGTTCGCTTGAGGGTGGTTACGCGTTATACCCTTCGAGTTGGTCCCTCTCTGTGATGTTTTTTTTTTAGTTTCTTGCAGCCACTGCACGGAACTTGCCAAAGCTTGGCAATTAATCCGCCACAGATCATGATACAGAATTCTCTCTGTTATTTTTATGACCCTCTAGCACCTTGGCAGTTATTTAAACTCATCTACTGATATAAAATCATGTTGAAATTGAGAGTTGAAATTTTATTATGCCCCCCCCCCTCCCATTTGAACAATCATACCACAATTGATGACAAGATTTCCTATAGAGCACCAAGATAATCGCTAAGTTTTGACAACTTCCAAGCATTGCCGGCTAGAAACTAAAATTTTAAAAAATCACAGATCAAAGTAAATTTCAAAGGTAACCACAAAACAAGCCACTGCCTATATACTTTTCATTAATTTTGTCCAACAATTCCCCAGGAGTAAAAGCTTGTAAATTTAAAATTAAAAAAAATATATATATATCCTAACGGCTTGCAATAACGTGGTTAGGGGTTATAAAAAGTGGAATTGTTGCCTAAATTAGGTGTTTTTTGACACAGGTACTAACATGGAATGCTTCCCCATTTTTATTTAGGTGTTTTTTGACACAGGTACTAACATGGAATGCTTCCCCATTTTTATAAAGACTTTTACAACATTCCATATAACCGAAGTGGAAATGCAATCCACAAAATGGAAGTGCAATTTGTTATTTATTTTGCTGTAGGTAAAATTTCATCACCTAAATACTATTGAAATAATATATTTCAAGCAGTAATTGACAGAATATCGGAGTAAAACCATATGGAAAGTACTTTGTTTAAGTTATTATAAATAATTACATAAATATATTCTTCTTTATAAATTTGCCATATATTTTTTCGGTAAAATTATATTACATTATGCTACGATTATAGTTTTAAATTTGCAAGTGCTTTAAGTTTAAAATATGTAGCTACACGTTATTCTAAGAAAAAATACTATGCATGATTATTATTTTTTCTAAAAGAAAAATTTTTTAAAAAATCTAGAGTTGCATTTAGTTTTTTCTCCCTAAAATGCAGTAGGACACATATATAATTTAGGTTTTTAAGTTATTAAAAGATTTCAGTCGACTATTGTTTTCAATTGATGCAAGATTAAAATACTCAATAAAATAAAACTTTGCTGAGTATTTATCATAGGTAAATGTAAATAAAAATAATCATAGAAAATGTAAATTAAATAACATGTCTTGATAGAAATATTAAATAAATTACATCTTCTGACCAGGCACAAAAATAAAACTATCAATAAAAATAATAACATACATAGTAACTATAAGAGCAATATAATTATCTGAACATATACAGTTCAATTTAAATAGTAGTTGATATAATCACCAATGAAATTTTACAGATCAAGTAACCGTTTACGTCTTGTAAAAAATTAGCATCAAGATGTAATTTACAACAAAAAAAAAATATATCGTTCATTCCACCAAACGAAAAAAAAAAAAAAACTAAGTTACTCCATTGTAAATTTCACATAAAGGCTCGATATCACACTGACTCACTTCATATTTATGAAATGAATTGTCGCTCAGATCAGCTGATGGGATTGACTGTCACACAAATCCACATAAATTAATCCAAGATAAATTAGAAAGAATCGCCACTAAACAACATCCGCATTGATGTCAGCCGAAATTAAAAAATATCACCACATCTGAAGTACTCACGCCAATTAATTCTCCGTAATCCATTAGTTTCCGCGGCTATCACGTTCATTTTTCTAAAAGTTCCATTTCACTTTAAACACAGGACACTTAAAATTAATTATAATAATTCGATGCGATCAAAATTGTATTACACACACACAAACTTTTTTCATTGGAGGTCGAAGTATTATAAGACAATCAACAGGTTAAAGAAATGTTTGGCGAAGCGTATCCTCGCCGCTCCATCGCCTATGCAGACAACACAAGTGTTCCGCACATCCGATGCATCCGAAATTGCTTCGGTCGCCGATTCATCAACACCCAATGTAGTGATTCGGTCATCATTGAAATGCTTCCTTTTGTTCTTTTTTATTTTCTAGTTTCATATGTGACGTAAGCAATAAAGTTTTTTCCCTTTAAGTTGGAATATGCGCTCGGCAACAGGTTTCCGGTTCGTCCGGCCGCGCGGTTTTGGCGATCGCTCTTCGCGCAATCTCCGTTGATGATGTAGAATAAGGCGCGCATGATTTGCGGTGCGGCGGTTGCTTTTTCCAACTTTCTGCGATTTTTTTGTTCTCTGACGTTTTAAATGTAACAAATATTTTTTTAAAATTTACGTTACTTACGCTTTATCTGTTCCAATTTTTTGATATAAATAATTTTCAGGAAAAAAAAAATTCAAAAAGAAAATACCTAACTATAATTCGATCGTTTTTAATGTAACAAATATATTCTAACATGTTTTAGGGAGCTTACGTTTTATCAATTCCATTTTTTTAAGATAAATAATTTTCACGAAAAAAAGAAGAAATTTGTCAAAAAGAAAATACCTAACTCGAATTCGATGGTTTTTACTGTAACAAATATATTCTAACAATTTTTTAGGGAGCTTAAGTTTTATCTGTTCCAATTTTTTAATATAAATAATTTTCACGAAAAAAAAAATTTCAAAAAGAAAATGCCTAACTATAATTCGATCGCTTTTAATGTAACAAATATATTCTAACATTTTTTTAGGGAGCTTACGTTTTATCTGTTCCAATTTTTTAATATTAATTTTCACGAAAAAAAAAGAAAAGAAATTTTTCAAAAAGAAAATACCTAACTCTAATTCGATCGTTTTTAATGTAACAAATATATTCTAACATTTTTCCAGGGAGCTTACGTTTCATCCGTTTAATTTTTTTATTACAAATTATTTTAATACACATAATTTTCACGAAAAAAAAGGTAATTTTTCAAAACGAAATTATTTTCATTTAATTCGATCGTTTTTAATGTAACGAATATATTTTAAGTTTTTTTTTTGTTGGAGCTTCAAGTTTCATCTATTTTACTTTTTTTAATAAAAATATTTTTGCATAAAACAAAATTTTACAAAAAGAAACAATTTTATTTTAATTTTATCGTTTTTAATGTATCAAACATATTGTTATTATTTTTTATTCATTTTTGAGAAAACTTACGTTTTATCCCAATCACATTTTTAATAAAAATATTTCTCGCGAAGAAATATTTTCAAAAAGAAAATACCTTATTTTAATTCTATTGTTTTAATGCCACAAATATTCGAGGGAGCTTACGCGCTTTATCCATTTTACATTTTTAATAAAAATATTTTTCATAAAGAAATAGTTTTTTTTCAATTCTACCGTTTTGAATGTAACAAACTTACTCNTTTTTTTTTTTTAGGAAACGCACGTTTTATTTTTTTTTATAAATGTATTTTAGAACTGGAACCAACCAGGCCACTTTAATTCGCCACTTTAATTCACCGTGCCGGAGTATTAGATAGATTATTATTTTATTTACAAATCACTGTCTCAAAAAAAAAAAAAGAAGAAGTCTGAGCACTTCATTAAAAAAAAAAGTGACTGAATAAACAGTACCGAAAAAAAGTACGGGAAAAAAATGAACTAATATATAGGTAGGTATTAATTTAAAGTTTACGAAAAAGTGCTTTCTCTACTTTTTTTATACAGTAACAATAGTTAAAAATATTTTTAAAGTTTTCCGATTTAAAATGCCTTATATTTAAAACTAACTATAAACATACTGTAACAATTACTATGTAACAAATAAACGTACTACATAAAAAATTGATTTGAACTGCTAAACAAATTTAAAGTTTTTCTGAATTTCGATGATTACACTTATTGTATATGTGATGCAACATAATAAGCAAATAAAACTTTTTTGCAATCATTTCATATTTTTAAAAATTGTATTAAATTGAAATCTTTTATTATTTATTTATTATATCTTATTTTTTTTAAATTATCAAAAGATTAACTTCTAAAATGTCCTGAGAGGCTGGTAAATTACAGAAAATGTTTGCAAGTGTTGATTTCAGATGTTGCATTCAGATCTAGCAGTGGATTGACCAAAGAAAATATCAGCATCACATTTCTAAAAAAATCGGCGTGTTTTTGGGGGTAGATGGAAAAAAAAGTCCCGGTAAAAAAGGTCCCTGGAAAAAAAAAGTACGGAAAAAAGGGTCCCTGGAAAAAAAGGTCCCGGAAAAAAAAGGTCCCGGTAAAAAAGGTACCTCCATAGGGAAAATCTGTAGGGATATTTCCCCTCTCGTTTTCTGGGCAGCATGAATGCTTTTCGCAGTTTCAATGAATATTCTTTTTAGCTGTAATAATTCAGATTACATCATTGAGGTAAGGAGAAGGGTACTTATGGGCTGGTTGTATTACGCTTTTTTTTTTAAATTTTATTTCATTTATTTATTCTTCTTTGATTATTTTTTAAAGCGGGAAGATACTATTTAAATTTTTCAATAATGTTTTACTTTTTTTGGTAATTTTTTTAAGTGAAAAATGTGTCATTTTCTATTTTAAATTCTTTTTTATTTCTTTAGAATAAATAAGAAACTAAAGTTAAAAAAACCATGCACGGAACAGCAAAAAGCGCTTCAATCTAATCTTCTCATTTCAAATATTTCCCCTACAGAATTTTCCCTACTCAGGTACCTTTTTTTCCGGTACCTTTTTTTCCTGGAACCGTTTTTTGGGGCAGTATATACATTCCAAACTACTTTTAAGAATACTTACAACAAAAGTAGACTTTTAATAATCTCGAAGCGAACACACAGTAAATATGCTAGTTAACCAAAGTAATTCTGTCGATTCTCAATTCACCATTTAAAAATTCTCTGTTTTGTTGATGGGAACAGACGATTTTCGTAATTAGTTGAGTTTCTTTTTCATAAAATGACTGAATTTCCAAAAAGTTTTAAACATTGAATCATAAGAGTAAGGTCAATGGTCGATAAAACTTTTTTTTTTCTTTTTTTGCATTTCACAACAACTACTTTATTACAATTGTAGTTAATTACAAATACTTTTTTTTTATGTAGTGACGACTATGTAATGTCAGAAATTACGTTAATTCTACTTTTTTGCGCATTTCGCTATATCTCGCAATCTTTTTAAGCGAATTGAAAAGTTTTTGCTCGCAATTATAAAATTCGTTTATTCAAACATTATTCCAAGCAAATTATAATTATTAATAATTATTTTTTATTAACGGCCGGAAAGATTTTAAATTGTAAAGCGTACGAATTTTTGCATCATTTTAAATAATGTAATTTTTAAATATCAAAATACAAAATTTGAACGAAATCGGTTTTACAGTTCCCGAGAAATCAAATTTTTTAAAAGGTCAGATATTTAAATTTCGTCTGATTTCGTTAAAATTCTGTAATAATTTTCTTCATATTTTGTTCTCAACATTTCATTATTTTTTACACAAAATATGTTGATTATATATATAGGAATTTAAAATATATGTACAAACATTTCAAATATCTCTCTATATTCTTAATATTTTTATATCGATTTGAAAAAACTATGACCATCTATCCTAGACTTACCCAAAAGTAAAAACATTTTAAAGAATACAAGATATATATATTTAAAACTTTCGCTTTATATTTTGAAGATGAATCGAATTTGCGTCTAATTCTTGGAAAGAAGTTTTTTCATTTCGATTCGAATGTCTAGTGTGTTAACATAAAATTGGACATAATAAACCTTACATTTCACAAAACATGTACAAACAAAAAAATCTATATTATATGCAAAGTTAAGCTGCGAGTTTTTTTTTAACGTAAAATGCTCCAGCAAAAATTGTGTAGCATTAAGTGGCACAACCATTTTCCGGTTTAAAAATTGATAGTTATAATATCCATAAATTGTCCAAGGATCAGTTTTTAATATAAGGCATTTTAAATCGGAAAATTTTTAAAATATTTTTAACTATTGTTACTGTATAAAAAAATAATAATTAAGAAGGAAAAAAAAAACAAATTAATAAGAAACCTAGAGTGGACAATATTAACGAATTTGCTGAAAATGTTTCCTAAGCATAGTTTTGAACATATCTAAAATTTGAACTTTTAATCCTCATACACTGACTTTTAATCTTCAGTTTTACTTTGCTATTTTAGTTTTGGGATATTTTTTTTTTCGTTTAATATTTTTAAATTTTTTATTTTTTTATTTTGTTTATTTCTGTTGGTATTTATTTCGTAATTTTATAACATTTTTTTTAAAATTTCTTAAAAGGTAAGAAAAATCATACACTTTTTCAATCATCATGCAGTTCATCATCATCATACAGTTGAATTTCAGTCATTTGATGGACCAAGATTATTAACGATTAATGCACCAAGATTTAATTAATAAGCACTGGAAAGTGGAACATCTACGATTATTAAAACTGTGTTTATTATTGCATTATTTTCATTTTATTATTTTTCTTATTAGCACCGGATAGTTGTAATGAATCAAGTCTCTTATGTGATGGATCAGAAGCCGACTTCATTCTGGAGGGTGATTCCTCATATTCCCCCTCCACCAAAGAATATATAGGGGAGAATATCCCCTATATACTCTTTGCCTCCACACCCCTCTTGTCTGCACCACTTCCATCCATTCTCTTTCGTTTCTAACTTTACATGGTGTTCGATTTGGAATAAATGATGCAAAACTTATCCCAAAAATGGTAATTGCTCACAGTAATTTGCGAGTCGTATACAAAACATGAGAATTCTCTCATATTGAGCCGCGATGGCTCAGGGGATAGAGCGTTCGTCTTCCAATGCTGCGAATCGGGTTCGAATCCCAGTCGATACGATTTCCGCATCCGGCTTGCACCGACCACAGTGCTGACGTGAAATATCCTCAGTGGTAGACGGATCATGGGTTAGAGTATCCTTGCCGCCTGACTAACCGTGGGAGGTTCCCGTGATCTTCCTCTCCATGTAACGCAAATGCGGGTTAGCTCCATCAAAAAGTCCTCCACGAAGGCAAATTTCTCCCAATACTCGATCCAGGAGTTCCCTTGTCTTCTGGATTGGGTTCAAAATTACAAGGCTACGGAATTGAACATTAGTAGTCGTTACCTCCATGAATCCTGATGATCTTTTGCTGCCTCTTGTCAGGAAAGATACACTTTAAATCACGGCTTATTAATTTAACTG